TTCTGTTTTTTGAGGAGGAGGGCCACCCCAGAGGGGGAGGTCGGTTCGGTGGGGGGGACGGAGCGGTAGGGTTTTGCCCTGGTGGGAGCGGAGAGAGGAGGTTAGTTTTGGGGTTTGTTGTGGTTTTGGAGCGAGGGAGAGGGGGTCATGGGTGGAATAGGTCTTACGCTGAGCAAGTCGATGCTTTCTAGTCGCTGGCGTGGAATAACTGTGACGAGCTCCATTTCGGCGAGGAAAGCGGCCTCGGCGTGGGTTAGGCCTGCAGGGAGAGGGAGCGCCATCTTGTTGTTGGTGGTTGGTGCACTTGAAGGGATGTCACCTCGTCATGTTCATTGGTTGCTATGGGCGGGTTGTCGTATGCAAATTTGGGCACGCCGACTTCCTGAACTGTATCGGGTGTGTGGCGGATGTTGAAGTTTAACGCGGGGCACGCGGCGGGTTCTGAATTGGCTCTGACGTCGCGTGTCGCTGGAGGCTTGGCGTGTTACAGGGCTGAACGCGCCAATTCGCGGACCTGGGCCCCGACCCGACCATGACCGTTTTGCTGCTACCTGCAAGCCATCCAGACACGGAATACCTGCACAATAACCCAAGGTTATGTAGAGAAATCCAAGAGCCAAAGGCCATTGCTCATTTCAGCCGAGGATTGCCAACATCAATTTGCCTAAAATCAGGTAGTACACCGGGTACAGTACTTGAAAATAACGACAGGTACCTAAGATGGGATAGTGCCCAGTCGTACAATCTGCCTTACCACCCGAGTCCTACGCTTTACACGCCCATGGCTCTATTTTGCATGCCTGCGGTGCCTATGCTGCTTGGCTGCCTGCACATTACCGAATTACTCCATCCGGAATCGCATCGGCCGCACTGGTCCGCAGCGGAAGAGCGGGGCACCTCCGCCGCGACGGGCCGGAGAGGTTTGCCGAAGTGGGGCCGTCGGAGCCGGAGGACCGGTATTCATGTCTGATATCAACTAAGCACCCGCCGCAGGTCGGAACAGGCAGCGTGCCAATGCTGCGAATGCCACATCGAAGGATCATTAGGGTGGCCTCACCGCAATACCGGTGGCCTGGTTCGTTTGGGGTTAGGAGCGACTGCCTGTGATCCTGCGGCCCAGCAACCCCAGCCTCCTGCAGGATCGGAGCTCTGTTTGTTTGTTTCCCAGAACAAGCCACGGAAAAGCCATAAAGTACTGGTGGCGTCTTTCCAAGCGGGACACCAAGCGTTAACGCCGGCGTAATGCTGTTGCCTTACTTATTTCTGCAGTCTCAAGAGAGGATGGTGTTCCTCGTCAAAAACGCCAGGCTGGCCTAGCATTGATCCTCCGAGGCGGAAATTCACCGGTTACCTTTTATTGTCTATTGTGGAGCGAGAGCGTTAAAAAAATAGAGAATATTCAATTGAAGTCATCAAGTCATGAAAGCTGTGAAACGTAGCTAATGTCTCAAAAGTAGGCAGTGAAAAAGGGTCCCCGAGCGAAGTAAAACCTCAACTCGGAGACTCCACCATGTGTACCAATTCGAAATTCCGCTTCGCGCAAAACAAACGAAAATAAGAAATCCAAAAGCTCGGTTCATTAACGCACTCATGAGGTTCATCAGCTCCGTGTTCAAGTCCCCTCCGTTCTTCCCTGCCTGCTTCTTGTTGCGTTCTTTTGCCGCCCGTGTTTTTGGGTCCGATGACGCGTTAGACGATCGGGTCTCGTATATTGCTTCTTGCACCACTGGCAGGCGTATGGTTCCGTTCGGATCCCATACTCCGCAGCGAGCTCCGGGTGGTGGACGAGTATGTGCTTCTTGAGCTCAGACCGATGCGAGTGACCCTTCTGGCACTTAGGGCACTTCTCCGGCCTGACAATCATGCGCCACTCGCGTCTGTGTACATCTGTTAGCCCTGGCTGGTCCACCGATCAACGACATAGGAAAGGCACGCACGATGAAAACCCGGGCGGGCGATCTTCCATTGTGCGCAGTTCAATCCCGATGGCAGACGATCGTAGTGGTTGTTGAGCACCGTCCAAGAGGCTGGTTTCTGGAGCGAATTGTGGCGGCGGCTGTTGGACGGTGTCCATGGTAGCGATGTTGGCTGTATTGAAACTCGGGTCTTCTCTCGCCCATGCCACCTTGTCCAGTTGAGAAACCCCAGACTGTGACCATGTGGTCTCGATGACGGGGCTATTGAAGTCAAACTCCAGCGATGGTGAAGTCCAGGTCGTATCATCCGAACTGACCGGAGAAATGATATTCATCATCGACGTAGGCTGAAACCAGGGTGGATCTAATAGTTGTGGGATTTCTTCGGACTTCGACGCAGAACCAAAAGTCGAGCCGTCCGTTTGTGCGTTAGATGTCAGTAGAAACTCTGGAACGTCTAGGGACTCTAAGGGAACATAATCCGCGGTTATGCAGCTGTCTTCGAATGTATTAGGATTGTCGTTCCATTCAAATTGATTGAAACTGTCGTCATTCCAGGAGGGCCATGCTCCAGTGGCAAGCTGATCATATTGTTCTGCCTCCATCATTCTTGACGGGTGAAGGCTCATGGCTTCGTGCCTTGGCTTTGAGGGGCTGGTTGTGTTGTTTGAAGTTTTTGCTCGAGAGAGCAGCGAATAGTTTGCGAGCTGATGAGTGCGTGTGGTGATCCGACGGTACGGATCGTGCGGGACCTTTTTGTAGGGACATATCAAGGTCCCATGCAATCTGCTGTAGACGGGTGAGACATGTTAAATACGATGAAAGATATGCCGGCATCCGCAGTAGGTTAGAAAACTGACGTTGTTCATGATACACATTGGGCGAGTCATCCGACACCTTCCCCCTTCTAGTATCACCATCTTCACGGCCAGGAACTTCCAGACTTTTCTCACCCGTCGCACCGTGCTCAAGGTCGTATCAACATGGGCTATATGGAGCGAATATAATCCCCGAGTCAGAAACCTCTTTGAATACCCGAGTCACAAGCCTGGAACTTGTGACTCGGGTATTCATCCGCGAAGCTTGTACCTCCGATGGACTTTCGCTCAATATAGTCGATGTTGGTAAAACATTGATTTTGGCCTTCGGGGTCGAACCGTCTAAGCTCCTGCGAGGTCGATTCGATGCAGCCTTTATGATTGTTAGACAATTCATCACGGATGTCAAAACCACGCAAAACGGAAAGTCTTGGATCTTACAGTTTGCCCGAGGCAAAGAAGGGGGTTCCTCGACTGGAGAAAGTAAAAGAAAGTACAAAAGAAACCGAATGTAGTAATCCCCGGAGTCAACGGTGCCCGGAATCAGGGCTCCATGCATGCATGCCTTGGTCATGAAGACATCATGTATGGAGCCCTGAATGGAGCCCTGATTCCGGGCACCGCTGTCCTCCTCGCCAGTATTCCGAGTTGTGTTGAGTGGAGTGAAGAAGGATGAGAGAAAAGAGAGAAGGATGTCAACGAGGTGGTGATCTGGGAATGGGGATTTAAAGCCTTGGGCAGCCCCTCACGTAGGTACTTGGTCGAGACTCAATTGTCAATGCACACGGTGCGGCTTGTCCATGTACTAAAAGAGTAACTGGAGAGGTGCCCATTGATTGGGTGTTTTGGGGTCAAACACAACGGGCAGCCGACCTATCTGCAGCTTCGGCCTGGTTCTCTGGCGCTCCATGCGCGAATGAAACCGGGCAGTCACGATTGGACATCGTGCCTGCCTGTCTCTTTGGGGCAGACAACCCCCGCTATGCGTTGTGCGCGCAACTGGACGAAAAAGGAGTCAAAGGACCCTCTTCTCTGCAGCCTCGGATCAGATGCTGCCCAAAGACGTCCCTGTTGGAGCACCTTGATTTTGATACTCTTGAGCTCACTTTGTGATTTCGGCAGATGTCAGAAACATGCGGACAGACCATGCCATTTGCGGCTCCCAAGGCGCAATTCGCAACCGATTTTTCTACGTAGAAGCTCCGTCTAGGACTTCACGGCAGGAACTAATTATAACCAAACCGAGGGCACCGCCCACACGGAAAATACCAGGTGATCCCGTGGCCGAGCCAACAACCCAGTGACCACCGAACCCACGAGAGCCTCCCAATTTAGAAACCAAGTTAGATCGCTTAGAATCGCTTTTAGAGCTGAGCAACTTGAACAACCTGGGAGCATCCGAGTCAGGTAACAATGGTAACACCAGTTTTCGGAGTAATCCAAGATTGAATTTACAAAGTACCTACCTATTTGAAACGTGTAATCGCCGGAGAGAGTGATGATGCCTACCTGAGGCAGGGCAGAAAACTTTCTGAGTTTATGAGTTAGACGCTGTGCATGACTCGGAAGACACAGAGCTCGAGGAACACAAAATCACGACCCTTAAGCGCACCGACTAATCGGAAGCTCGAAAAGCCACGCGCAAAAGTTCTACAGCTGCTGAGCCTCATAAACAACAGCCGACTCCCGGCGAGCCCGGGTGGATGGGTTCACCTTCATTTCAAGCCACATTCCTTATGGACGTCATTTTACCACACCGGGGAGCAGAGATGAGGCGAATTCCAGCCCTCGGCTGAGGCCGTTAGGCGCTTGAATTGTTGGTTTCATTGTTAGCGGCGGCGCATGTATAGTGGGTCCGATTGCCTATTCGGGTGGCTGTTTATGCCCCGGCGCCGCTCCCGCTCCGCTAGCGAGCCCCCGACCGGCGGAAATCTACGACATGTGGCCCACTTGCTCGGACTCTCAGCTCGCACTTCGCACTTCCCCCCCCAAATCCCAGTTCTCAGTCGCGCGAAATAACAGTTTTGGTATTAACTTGCGCATCCGGCAGCGCCTGTCCGTGGCCGTGCTTTGAAATTTCATCCGCCGCAATCCTTTTCCAGGTAACTAGGTAACCGGTTTCTACCGATTATCTAATGTGGCCACACACTCAAAATCCCCATGATACACCAGACGGTGACACACACGCTCTCGGTGACCCACGGACTCCCACCAATCATGCCAAACAAACAACTTGCTTCCCCAACCTCTCCAGGCTCTCTCTAGCACAGCCAGCTCACAATCTTAACCCTTGATTGAACCGAGACACCGTTGTGCCTATAGGTTGTAGTAAGAATACCCAAATCCGATCCCGAATGCGGAACAGCTCTCCCAGGCAACTAGCTTCCACGGACCGAGCACTTGCCCCTTCGTTGTCGGCCTAGGACTTTGTCATTGTCGGCCTTGAGAAATATCGACAAGTACAGGCACATCATCAGAGACACCTTAGTCGTCTACCTCGTCTCCCGAGATATATAAGCCATGGACACCAAGTCTGCATCACCACAATGCTCAGCAGCACATCGCGGCAACAGCAGCAGCATCACCATCACCAGTCCCATCGACCTCACTACCACAACAAACACTCTCATCCAGCACCTCCAGTCGCTAGCATCTCCGAGACGTCCCTACCGTCTCAACAATCCCAACCCGCTATCCCTTTCTCAAAACCCACCGATAATGTCTGGCACCTCGGGAAACTCGACTCGCAACTGGGACGACGTGCTCAAGCACGGCTCGGCCCTCGGCATCCTCAAGCCTGATGTTGCCTTCCCCCCTTACGGCGGCTCCACCTCGGGTGGCTCTTCGGGGTCTAACACGGGCGGCTCTTCCGGCGGTTCCTCATACCCATCTGGCGGTGTATGTTTCTCCTTTCCTCACTTTTTTAGTTTGTCGGGTTGCTAACCGTCGCTGCAGGGCTCTGGAGGCGCTAAGCGTTGAGAATTTCACTTCCAACTTATGAATGACCATATCATTCCCATGGCAATGATGGTATTGGGTTTCTTTTTTTTTTCAACAAGGTGCTGGTGGCGTCGGGGGATCGGTCATTGATTCAAGATATCACACATCCGCGATGTTGATTTACGACGGGGGCACACGACTCGGGTTTGGTTGACGGGGGCAACCAGGGCATATTTTGGGCGTCTTCACATTTTACATTTTCTTCACGGCATAAAAGCTCAGAAGCTGCATAGATTTAGATAGCATAGCGTTGCTTTACGGCACCACCTCGCTATACACACTCGCTGCATACGAACACTCTGGCAGACCAGAATACCGAACGTCGAATACCTGTGTTACCGTGCTCTCCAGCCTTTTACTTTTGACAGAATGTAGGATCGCGGCGCAGCCCCACGGCCGCATGGTTCCACGTGGAGACACAAGGCGGACCCCAAGGTTACCTAAACCAACGCTTGAATCCTGCCGCTGACCACCAGTCTCATGTCACGCCTGCCTGCGTCGTCGTGTGCATGAGTCCCAGGGATCTGGTCAGTTCGGGTAGCTCCGAAGGAGCCGTGGGGAGCTTGGCATGCAGTGCCTCACCATCAGCCCTACCTGACGCACCCCGAACACGGCGAGCTTCTCGGTGCTCGGGTGCTGCACGTGATTATACCGAGTCGTGCAGGCCAGAATCAAATTACTAATGGCATCCGGTGGCGTGTCTTGTACGACCGGTACGTAAGAATGATGTTTTTCGGCTTTTGTATGCAGTCTGGACTCTGCCTCCTTGGTCACCACCTGGCGTTGCATCAACATCTATGTTGTCAATCTTACCTTCTCGGGATCCAAAATATTCATGGCCACAGAACTTCTTGAAGACGGCAGATTCATGAAGAATCTCGTAGAGAATGTAGGTACATTGGATGTGAACTATGTGGTACAGGAAGAGACGTTGTGATACTGATGTTACAGTGACACCGGATGGCACCACTCCTGTGCTAAAACACTTGTCGTGCTCCATGAATGAAAAGAATGCCACGAGGACAATGCACATATTCTTCCGAGGTACTAATAAACGCGGGGAATGCGAAAATCCGGGGAAAATGACTTAAGTGACGACCACAGGCAGCCGGCCCCCGGATTCAGGGGCTCAACGGCCGGTCGCCGGATCGCCACATCAAGTTTCAATCGTTCAAAAAGGGGTCCGTGACACCCACCATAATGCCTCTGGAGCGGAGGCCATGGCCAGAACTGCTAGAGTGCAAACTCGCCCAAAGGCGCAGGCGTCCAGGGAATTCTGGAAAGCTGCGGGAATGGCGAGGAGCCGTTACGGGTGAGGGGCGTCTTTTTTGTGGATATATACCAATCAACCACTTCCCGCCCGACAAGGATACCGTCCTGCTTTGTTTCTTCTTTCCAAGTATCATCCCAGGAATGGAA